GCTTAACCACTTGCCCTCCAGAGGATTTACCACCCTTAATGACCACGCCTCTTTTTGCTACTCGGCGCCGCACTATTTCAACTGATAATTGCGCGGTCATGCAATACTGTACCCAAACGAAATTTACGTCCTTTTTTTTTTTTCGCACAAATAGAGCTTTCTTTCAGTGGAATTTGATCACCTGTGCGCTTCTTATTTTTGGCTCTATAAACAAAAAAGTTTTGAAAAAAAAACTATATTTTTCTCATTTCTGTCATAAAAAATATAAAAAAAAACTAAAATTTCCTCATAAATTTAGGCCAAAGTGTATTCTGCTCCATGTTTTTGGTTAAAAAAAAATCCCAATAAGTGTATATTGATTGCTTTGTGTGAAGGTTGAAGCGTCTACAAACTATCGTATAGATACTGCAATTTACACAGCTTTTACTTTTTGACTGCCCATCACATTTCTTGAGGTGCTAAAATACCAGGACAGTACAAACACCCCCAAATGATCCCTTTTTGGAAAGTAGGCACCCTAAGTTATCTGCTGAGAGGCATATTGAGTCCATTGAAGATTTATTTTTTTCCACAAGTTTTTGGAAAATAACAAAAACATTTTTTTTTTTTACACAAAGTTGTCATTTAAATGATATATTTCTCACAGAAGCCATGGGTATGTGTGGAATTACACCCCAAAATACATTCTGCTACCTCTACTGAGTATGGGAATACCACATGTGTGAGACTTTTTGGGAGCCTAGCCACACACAGGAGCCTGAAATCCAATGACCACTTTGAAAGCCTGAAGGTGCATAACTTCCTCATTTCACTTCCTCACTACTTATCACAGTTTTGGAGGCCCTGAAATGCCAGGATAGAACCAACCCCCCCCCCAAAATGACCCCTTTTTTGACACCCCAAAGAATTTAAAAAGAGGCATGGTGAGTTTTTTTTCTCAGATCTCATTTTTTCTCACAAGGTTTTGAAATATAAAAAAAGAAAAGAAACAATATGTTTTTGTTTTCTTTCTTCATTTTCCAAAAACTTGTGGCAGCAAACGAGATCTGCAAAATACTCACCATGCTTCTTATCAAATTCCTTGGGGTGTCTGCTTTCCAAAAAGGGGTCCTTTGGGGGGGGGGGGGGTTGGTGCTATCCTGGCATTTCAGGGCCTCGGAAACTGTGATAGGTAGTCAGGAAGTGTAATGAGGAAATAAAGCCCTTTAAAAGCCTGAAGGTGCTTATTGGATGTTGGGGTCCTGTACTTGGCTAGACTGCCAAAAAAGTCTTTCACATGTGGTACCCCCATACTCGGGAGAAGTAGCAGAATGTATTTTGGGGAGTAATTCCACATATACCCATGGCATGTGTGAGCAATAAATCATTTAAGTGACAATTTATGTAAAAATAAATTTTTTTTTTTTTGTCATTTTCCAAAAACATGTGGTAAAAAAATAAATTCTTCTGTTGATTCAACATGCCTCTCAGAAAATAGTTTGGGGTGTCTACTTTCCAAAAAGGGGTGGTTTTGGGGGGTGGTAGTACAGAAAGCATTACCATGTGCCTGAAAGAGCTCAAACTAACAACCCAACCCTGCAGATTACACCAGGAGAGCACCAGCTGGATTCCCCTCCGTTCATCCCCCACTATATAGCACCTGCCAGCCACTGCTATACCGTCCTCTGAAAAGCGATCCACCAGGGATTGCTATCCAGAGGGACAGAAAGCATTACCGCATCCCTGAAAGAGCTCAAACTAACAGCCCAACTCTGCAGATTACACCAGGAGAGCATCTGCTGGGTTCCCCCTCCCCCATCCCCCACTACAGCACAGCTCCTATCTATGGGTACATGCATGCAGAGAATTTATATGCCTCTAGACCACGGGTGTCACACTGGTGGTCCTCCAGCTGTTGCGGAACTACAAGTCCCATGAGGCATGACAGTTGACATGTTACAAGTATGATTCCCGCAGGCAGAGGCATGATGGGACTTGTAGTTCCACAACAGCTGGAAGGCCATCAGTTTGACACCCTTGCTCTAGACTCTCCGTGTTCATGATCCCCATAGGATGACCTGGCCCTTCTTTAAAGTGATTGTAAACCTTAGATATGAAATCTGAACAAAGCATATCCCTCTGTAGCGTGTACTTGTCTCAATCCAGAGCACTAAGTGTCATTTCTGTTTGCTGCCTCTTTTCCTCTGCTATCAGGATAGGTCGCTTCTGACAAGTTTTCCTGACATCAAGAGAAAAAAAGGTGACAGGGGAGGGAGCTCCAACACACAGCCTTTGATTGGCAGCCTCAGCTCTATTCCTTTGTGCTCTGTGAACGGGGGTTGTGTCCCATCCCTCCAATCAGTTCTCAGAGCTCTAGTTACTGAGTTCTGCAGAGTGTACCTTCAGCTCCCTGCCCTCTTTTTTCTGACAGCTCAGACAAGCTGTATAATTTCTGGACTTTGAATGGATGTATAGAAGAGATGGCAGCAGATAAACAGGTATAACATATGTAGAGGGATATGTTTTATCTCTGTGTACCACCTGAGGCCAGTCACTTCACTGGGACTTGTAGTTCCTCAACAGCTGGAAGGTCATCAGTTTGACACCCCTGCTCTAGACTCTCCATGTTTTTATGATCCCCATAGGATGACCTGGCCCTTCTTTAAAGTGGTTGTAAGCCTCAGATATGAAATCTGAACAAAGCAGATCCCTCTGTAGTGTGTACTTGTCTCAATCCAGAGCACTAAGTGTCATTTCTGTTTGCTGTCTCTTTCCTCTGCAATCAGCATGGGTCGCTTCTGACAAGTTTTCCTGACATCAAGAGAAAAAAAGGTGACAGGGGAGGGAACTCCAGCTGATTGATAGCCTCAGCTCTGTTCCTGTGTGCTGTGTGAAGGGGGTGTGTCTCTTCCCTCCAATCAGCTGTCAGAGCTCTCCTCACTGAGCTCTGCTGTGTATAATTTTAGCTCTTTGCCTCCTTTTTTCTTATAGCTCAAAAACACACAGCCTGTGATTGACAGCCTCAACTCTATTCCTGTGAGCTGTGTGAACGGGGGTTGTGTCCCTTCCCTCTAATCAGTTCTCAGAGCTCTCCTAACTGAGCTCTGCAGAGAGTAACTTCAGCTCCCTTTCCTCTTTTTTCTGACAGCTCAGACAAGCTGTATAAATTTCTGGACTTTGAATGGATGTAGAGAAGTGATGGCTGCAGATAAACAGGTATAACGTATGTAGAAGGATTTGTTTGATTTGTGTATCACCTTTTGGTTTGTGTATCACCTGAGGCCAGTCACTTCACTGGGTGTGTGGAAGGGTTTACAACCACTCTAACCAAGCCAATGATGTACAATGTATATCTCCATAATGTCTGCAAACAATACCTGGACTGTTTAGAAAGCCTTGAGATCGAACAGCAACCACTCCACCGATTAGCAGAAGGCGATAAACCCAAAACTTGTTAATTATTATACATGACTGCAGACACCAGGAAATGAAAAACCAACCTGAGAAATACAAAGAGCAGCGATACAAATACAAAACACACACTGCAGTTCTGTACTCTAATAATCACGTGTTCAGTGAAAGTAGCCAAAATCTGCAAAACAGAATTAAATTTGCCTTTCAAACCAAAGAAAAGTTTTTCTACCTTTTGGATCCAGTTAAAACAGTAAAAATGTTTTCAGCAGAGCAGTAAGTGAGGGGAAATTTCTCTAATGGAGCACCAAATAGGAGTTAAAAAAATGATGAGGGTTCTAATCCTTCCCCACACTGCTTCCAAAAGAAACAAAAAAAAATTCTGTCTGGAAACACCATATGGGGTCTATTTATATATAATTTGCTGTGCAAATTCCTCAACATTTGCATAGCCTTTGGGAATAATCCCCATAATATGTCTGATATGTGTACTTCCTCTGATCGGCAGCTCCATCTAGTGGCCATAATGTGGTATTTTCTTGAAATGCCACAATCTGGAAAAGACCACAATATGCCCACTAGATGGAGCTGATGATTATAGAAAATATGGATATTAGACCAGGTTTTTCACACTTTTTTATTTTTTAGTCATGGCACCCTTCAAAAGTATGCACAATCTCGAGGCATTTTTTTTTAAATATAAAAATTGTAAATGTTGGTTATTATGGGTAAAGCTGAGCCTGGAATGATGCATCCAGTTTGATAACATTACCTTTACATCAGATCCCCCCCCCCCCCTTCACACTCCCTTCAAATCAGAGGTTCCTCCTTCACGTCAGAACCCTTCTCACATCACAGGCTCCTATCACATCAGTGGTCCCCCCTTCATATCAGAATCCCCCATGGCATCATAGTCCCCCTATACATCAGAGGCCTCCAATCACCACAGAGCTCCCATACACAAGAGCCCCCCATCACGTCAGAGGCCCCATCACATAAGAAGTCCCCCTACATGTCAGAGTCCCCCCATCACATCAAAGTCCACCCTATACATAGGCCTCCAATCACCTTACGTGAGAGACCCCCAATCGTTACAGAGTCTCCTCCATCACAGTCAGAGTCCCCCCTACACATAAGGGTCCATCACATTGGAGTCCCCTCAACCCCTTGGACACCGAGTTCTCTCATCTATCTCTGATCCGGGGCAAACTGGGTCTGGTGCTGGCAGCACCCCATGAGAACCCAAAGGCCACAGCTTGATGCACGGTATATAAAAATATCTGCAATCTCCAAGGAATGTAATGTACTCCAGAGTCCAGACCTGCAGCCAGTTAATACTTTCCTAAATGTGTCTTCATAATATCAAACCACTAGCTGTCCAGGGCAATTTTTTTTATACTTACATGTTTTAAGCTGCATTTTTAAATGGGGGAAATTACTTAGAACCCCCAAAGATGATATATTCTGATCGCAGAGGCCCTGGAGAATAAGGTGGTGGTTGTCACAATTTTTTTAAAGTGTTAATAAACCCAGGACCCTGTATTCACTATATCCGCTGTCCCCGGACCCTGATATTCACTAATTATCCGCTCTCCCCGGACCCTGATTCCTATCCGCTCTCCCCGGACCCTTGTCATTCACTATAACCGCTCTCCCCGGACCCTGTATTCACTATATTTCGCTGTCCCCGGACCCTGTATTCACTATAAACCGCTCTCCCCGGACCCTGTGTATTCACTATATCCACTCTCCCCGGACCCCTGCATTCACTATATCCGCTCTCCCCGGACCCCGCATTCTCTATATCCGCTCTCCCTGGACCCCGCATTCACTATATCCGCTCTCCCCGGACCCCGCATTCTCTATATCCGCTCTCCCCGGACCCCGCATTCACTATATCCGCTCTCCCCGGACCCCGCATTCACTATATCCGCTCTCCCGGACTCCTGCATTCACTATATCCGCTCTCCCCGGACCCCGCATTCACTATATCCGCTCTCCCCCGGATACTCCGCATTCACTATATCCGCTCTCCCGGACCCCGCATTCACTATATCCGCTTTCCCGGATCGGCATTTCACTATATCCGCTCTCCCCCGGATCCCCGCATTCACTATATCCGCTCTCCCCGGATCCCGCTTTCACTATATCTGGTCTCCCTGGACCCTGCATTCTCTATATCCGCTCTCCCTGGACCCTGCATTCTCTATATCCGCTCTCCTGGGCCCTGCATTTCACTATATTCCGCTCTCCCCGGACCCTGTATTCACTATATCTGGTCTCCCCGGACCCCGCATTCTATCTATATCCGCTCCCTGGACCCCCGCATTCACTATATCCGCTCTCCCCCTGGATCCTGCATTTCTCTATATCCGCTCTCCCCGGACCCCCGCATTCACTATATCCGCTCTCACCCTGGATCCTGAATTCACTATATATCCGCTCTCCCTGGATCCTGCATTCGCTATATCCGCTCTCCCTGGACCCCGCATTCACTATATCCGCTCTCCCCGGACCCCGCATTCACTATATCCGCTCTCCCCGGACCCCGCATTCACTATATCTGATCTCCCCCGGACCCCGCATTCACTATATCTGGTCTCCGCGGACCCCGCATTCACTATATCTGGTCTCCCCGGACCCCGCATTCACTATATCCGCTCTCCCCGGAACCTACATTCACTATATCCGCTATCCCGGACCCTGCATTCACTATATCCGGTCTCCCCGGACTGTGCATTCACTATATCCGGTCTCCCCGGACCCCGCATTCACTATATCTGGTCTCCCGGACCCCGCATTCACTATATATGCTCTCCCCGGACCCTGCATTCGCTGTATCCGGTCTCCCCGAACCTTGCATTCACTATATCCGTTCTCCCCAGACCCTGCATTCACTATATCCGCTCTCCCCGGACCCTGCATTCACTATATCTTGTCGTCCCGGACCCTGCATTCACTATATCCGCTCTCCCCGGACCCTGCATTCACTATATCCGCTCTCCCCGGACCCCGCATTCACTATATCCGCTCTCACCGGACCCCGCATTCACTATATCCGCTCTCCCCGGACCCCGCATTCACTATATCCGGTCTCCCCGGACCCTGCATTCACTCTATCCGCTCTACCCGGACCCCGCATTCACTATATCCGCTCTCCCCGGACCCTGCATTCACAATATCCGCTCTCCCCGGACCCGGCATTCACTATATCTGGTCTCCCCGGACCCTGCATTCACTATATCCACTCTCCCCGGACCCTGCATTCACTATATCCGCTCTCCCCGGACCCCGCATTCACTATCGCTGGTCTCCCCGGACCCCGCATTCACTATCGCTGGTCTCCCCGGACCCTGCATTCACTATATCCAGTCTCTCCGATATGTAAATGGTGTTCAAACCACACACATGAGGTATCGCCACGAACGTCGGAGCAAGAGCAATAATTCTCACACTAGACCTCCTCTGTAACTTTACACTGCTAACCTGTAGAAATTTTTTAAAGCATCACCCATGGAGATTTTTAAGTACCGCATTCCACGAGCGTGTGCTCATTTAAAGCGTGACATGTTGGGTATCTATTTACTTGCCGTAACATCCTCTTTCATATTTTACAAAAAAGTGGGGTATATATTTTTTTTTTTAATGAAAGTGAATTTTTTCCCAAAAAGTATATATTCAGTTTTAAAAACTGCATATTTCGGTTTTGGTTTTTGGCCGAGTGCACTTTGAATTTTCGGTTTCGGCAGCGGAACTTTCATTTCGGTGCACCACTGCTAAAAAGCCTACATGTGAAAGCTTTGGGCCGCCCATGACAGGTACTCTTTATGGGGAAATTAGGGGTCTACTTTGTCTCCTCCGCCCTCCAATGCAACTAAAAAAGTACAGAGCACATGTAAAAGCAATCACAAATAATCCCTTGCTGACATTCCTATACATATGTTGGTCAGAAAGTATTTAAATGAACATCGCCCAGTGCTAAACCAATCAGTATATAGTATATACAGTGTGTAATAAACCTGAGTGCATGTAGGATCTTTACCAGAGCAATAAATCAATCCTAATTCAACCCTTCTTCCTCCAACAAATATATAAATCCCTTCCGCTTACACTGTATATCCCACGTAGGTCAACCATAAATATGCAAATAAAAAGAAGTGCAAAGTGCAGTAAATTCAATCTAAAAATGTAAACACACAGTCCATCTTATAAAAAAAATTGAGCAATAAAAATGTGTGCAGTGAAAAAAAAATTACTGGGAAGATACTTGGGTATTGCAGAAAAACACAGCATTATGGCCACTAGATGGAGCTGACGATCATAGGAAATAAGCATATTAGACACAGTATGGGGATTATTTGTCATATGTGTGTATATATATATATATATATATATATATATATATATACACACACACATAAGGAATAGTGCCCCATCTTTGGTGTTAGTGGGAGGAATAGTGCTCCATCATTGGTGTCGGTGGGGGGAATAGTGCCCCATCATTGGAATCAGTGGGAGGAATAGTGCCCCATCATTGGTGTCAGTGGGAGGAATAGTGCCCCATCATTGGTATCAGTGGGAGGAATAATGCCCCATCATTGGTGTCAGTGGGAGGAATAATGCCCCATCATTGGTATCAGTGGGAGGAATAGTGCCCCATCATTGGTGTCAGTGGGAGGAATAGTGCCCCATCATTGGAGTCAGTGGGAGGAATAGTGCCCATCATTGGTGTCAGTGGGAGGAATAGTGCCCCATCATTGGTGTCAGTGGGAGGAATAGTGCCCCATCATTGGTATCAGTGGGAGGAATAGTGCCCCATCATTGGAGTCAGTGGGAGGAATAGTGCCCATCATTGGTATCAGTGGGAGGAATAGTGCCCCATCATTGGTATCAGTGAGAGGAATAGTGCCCCATCATTGGTGTCAGTGGGAGGAATAGTGCCCCATCGTTGGTATCAGTGGAGGAATAATGCCCCATCGTTGGTGTCAGTGGGAGGACTAGTGCCTCATCTTTGGTGTCAGTGGGAGGAATAGTGTCCTGTCATTAGTTTCAGTGGGAGGAATAGTGCCCCATCATTGGTGTCAGTGGGAGAAATAGTTCCCCATCATTGGTATCAGTGGGAGGAATAGTTCCCCCACCATTGGTGTCAGTGGGAGGAATAGTGCCCCATCATTGGTGTCAGTGGGAGGAATAGTGCCCCATCATTGGTATCAGTGGAGGAATAATGCCCCATCATTGGTGTCAGTGGGAGGAATAGTGCCTCATCTTTGGTGTCAGTGGGAGGAATAGTGTCCCGTCATTAGTTTCAGTGGGAGGAATAGTGCCCCATCATTGGTGTCAGTGGGAGAAATAGTGCCTGAAGGGCCAGATAAAAGTAAGCAAAGGGCTACATCCTCCAGTTTGGAGACCACTGGTCTAAGAAATTGAAAGCAACAAGGATTTTGTCACCTCTGGTTTCAGTCTAATGTAAACAGGTGACCTCGGTTTGTTCAGATGCTTTTCAGGGCAGAGGAGATATCTGAGGTCTAATAGACCCCAGATGTCTCCGTAAAGAGGGCCTCTAACTGTCCATGCTATCACAAAGGATGTCGTTCACAAAAGCAAACAACATCCCGTAAAAGCGGTGTGTCTTAGGACCAGTAGATGCTCCGGTGGGTCCCTGTTCTCTACAGATACAGCATAGGCTGTAAATGACAGCTCAGTAGACTATCAGTTATAAAGCCAGGCTGCCCTCTGTTCCCACAGCCCATACTCCTTCATGACATTTCAGAGAGGTCCCCCTACATCACTGACATTAAGATGCTGGTCCTCCTCCCAGTACCAGCATAGACCCATCTACAGCTGTGGGCGTTATTCCAAGAAGAAATATTCTCACCTACCCTCTTCCTCCTAATAGAACCATCAGCTGCAGCAAATATGGAGAACATCTGAGTTTCTTATGTTGCAGGAATTGAGGCTGACTTGAGGGGTGAAGGTGTAGGAATTGGCGGGACCTAAGGTGTAAAGGTGCAGGAATTGCGGTGTGATCTTTGGGCTGAAGGTACAGGAATTCTGGTGATCTGAAGTGTGTAGGTACAGGAATTGGACTGATCTGAAGGGGGAAGGTACAGGAATTGGGGTGATCTGAGGTGTGAAGGTGCAGGAATTGGGGTGATCTGAGGGGGTTGAAGGTACAGGAGTTGGGGTGGTCTAATGGGTGAAGGTACAGGAATTGGGGTGACCTGAGGTGTGAAGTTGCAGGAATTGAGGATGATTTGAGGTGTGAGGGTGCTGGAGTAGGGGATACCTGAGATGTGAAGGTGTGGGAAATGGGGTGATCAGAGGTTTAAAGGTGCAGGAATTGGGGTGATCTGAGATATGAAGGTACAGGAATTGGGGTGATCTGAGGTGTGAAGGTGCAGGAATTGGGGTGATCTGAGGGGGGTGAAGGTACAGGAGTTGGGTTATCTAATGGGTGAAGGTACAGGAATTGGGATGACATGAGGTATGAAGGTGCAAGTATTGGGGTGACCTGAGGTGTGAAATTGCAGGAATTGGGGATGACCTGAGGTGTGAAGGTGCTGGAGTAGGGGGGGCCTGAGATGTGAAGGTACAGGAAATGGGGTGATCAGAGGTTTTAAAGGTGCAGGAATTGGGGTGATCTGAGATATGATGGTATGGGAATTGGGGTGATCAGAGGTGTGAAGGTGCTGGAATTGGGGTTATCTGAAGTGTGAAGGTGCAGGAATTGGACTGATCTGAGGGGGGAAGGTATATAGGAATTGGCGTGATCTGAGGTGTGTAGGTGCAGGAATTGGGGTGATCTGAGGGGGGTGAAGGTACAGGAATTGAGGTGACCTGAGGTATGAAGGTGCAAGAATTGGGGTGACCTGAGGTATGAAGTTGCAGGAATTGGGGGATGATCTGAGGTATGAAGGTGCTGGAATTAGGGTAATCTGAAGGGGGTGAAGGTACAGAAATTGAGGTGATCTGAAGAGAAAAGGTACAGGAAATGGGGTGACCTGAGTTATAAAGGTGCAAGAATTGGGATGACCTGAGGTGTAAAGTTGCAAGAATTGGGGATGGTCTGAGGTGTGAAGGTGCTGGAGTAGGGGAGACCTGAGATGTGAAGGTGCGGGAAATGGGGTGATCAGAGGTTTAAAGGTGCAGGAATTGGGGTGATCTGAGTTGAGAAGGTTAAGGAATTGGTGTGATGTGAGGGGTGAAAGTGTAGGAATTGGGATGATCTGAGGGGTGAAGGTGCAGAAATTGGGGCAATCTGAGGGGTGAAGGTGCAGGAATTGATGTGACCTGAGGGGTGAAGATGCAGAAGCTGGGACTGCTATTGTTCACTGGCAAGCTGTTTGTAAGTGAAAAGGTTTCTGACCCATACATAGTTGTTGGTAGATCTAAAAGGAGATTTTATAGTCAGATTATAACATGTGGTGATCTTTAGAGTTGTCTCTCGGGGAAGTGTCTTCATTAACCCTCACCCTCTGGTGATTACAGTAAAAGTTTGCATTTCCCATAACTTTCACTTCCAGGAACAAGGGTCACAAGGAGGAACAAACAGGGTGACTCTACCCATTACACTTCAACCATGTAGCGGAAATTAATTTACAGTCAATCATTCAGAGTGTAATCT